GAATAACTCTGTGTAGTATCTTAATTTTCTCAAGTAGCATCACCTTTTTATGCTGCAACTCAAAACCTACATTGTTAGGATAAAATGTTAGATGTTAGGATAGGATAAAAAAATCAGTATTTCCTTTCAAGGTGGCTATGAAAAAACAAATTTAGGATTGATTCTTCAACTGGGATATTAAAAAACAAACATTGTCAGTAGGTCACTTTAAATTATAATTAAATTCTTATTGATTAAAGGCATACAAATAATATCACCAGAAAGATGAAAAGAAAAAAGATACTTACATTTGCAATAGAGAAAAATGTAACACACAGAAGGACTGTAGTCGTTTTCATTGTGGTTGTAGTAGAATTTGCAAATTAATGATGATGGTAACAGGTAACTTTATATACTACGATGTTAATGTTGAGTTACTATTTTTAAACAAAGATTGTAGTTATATTAATTTCAGTTCGTCAATAAATACATATTAGTATTAGATGAAGCGGAAATAATATGTAATTGTACTATTAATATAAAGTCATATTACTGACTGCTACTATTATAGTTTCTTAAACTATTATACATATATGCTTCAATAAATACAAGCACGTATTAAAACATAATAAAATAAAAAGTATTTCAGTTAAAAATTATATTGTTTGATTGCCTTATTTTCCGTATATTCTTATCGATACTTTAAAGCCGATTGAATACCTTTTCAATAATCGTAAATGTAAAAATGCTGTAAATCCACGTTAAAGGTGATACTTTTTCACTTGTATTGGAGTCATTAAATCCCAATTTGACTCGCTTTGTGCTATCAAAAAATTCCCAATAGAACCATCGTGATTCCCTTCTACAAAAAGTTGCACATAGAAGTTCGTAATTAGATGATAAAATTCATCCCCCGTCCTTCTGTCCTGGACACTTTAAACATGATGAATAATTGAGCTATTACTGCAAAATGTGCCTTTGAACTTTTTGAGCTGGAAATTTTATTTTAATTGCGTCATTAGATACTTTAGCTTCTGAAAGATAGGAAATGAACAATTAGGTAAATATTTTATTAGTCAGAAGAATGGGGTCAGCAGGGGTATAAATTAGAAATGATTTAAAATCCTTAGAATACAGATTTAATAATTAAAGACTCCTTTATCTTACTGTAAACTGATTTGTTTCTTCCTGATAAACACATATTTTGGGAAATGAATTAAATTAATTATTTAAAAATACAAAAATATAATTAAACTAATTTTACAGCTATACTTTCAACAACTATTCGAGATCTCTAACTTTTTGTGTTCTAAATCCCAATGTTATGTATGTGAAATCATTGCGTCATGTTGGTATTAACTGATACTGGTGTAGATCATGAAGCAGCGCAGCTGGTGTGCGACCTTGAAATTTGCCAATACATACATACTAATTGTGACTGAGATAGTGAAAGGTAAAAATTTAAATACTTCTCAAGAATATAAAATATAGGTAACGTTAAAATCAACTCAAATACATAGTATACTCAATATTTTTCATAAATCACTTTCACTTCCGTGAAATAGTGCGTTATCAAATCATCAAATGATTAAATAATCGTAAGAGTATTTTACGTACATATTTTTTGTTTCATTGTCTTCTTTATTTTTCAATTGTCAACATTTTTTAGTGGAATATGTAACAATTTTATTTAGGTCACATTTAAATAAGTCCATCCTGTATATCACCACGTTGCTTAATATATTTTTCTATGATATTAAAACCAAATCTCATAAAACTTCTTTCAAATATTGATAAATCCGCTTTATTGGCATTTGTTGATATTAGAGGAAGATTTTGCGAGATTTGACCTTTTATTACAAAATACAGATAATTGATAATTTTATTTTTGGTATCTATAAAGGGCATAGGGCATGTGAAAAAGTAATTTCAAGAAATGCCTACATCGCACATTGTCCATTAATAACAAACAAATTAAAATAATCCTCATTAGGTATAATTAAACGATCCCTAGGCATTTTTATTTAAATTTTCGTCAAAAGCTATTAAAGATATAACAATAATCTGACAACTAACTTGACAAATATCAAGTTATTTTAATTATTTTGGAGTGTTTCTGGTCATGGCCAACTTGACAACAGGTATGATGCGAGAAAAACTGTCCAAAAAATAGAAAAGTGCAAATATCTCTAAAAGTAGTAAAGGCAACCCAACCAAATGATGCTTATATGGCTTGAGGGGAAATTTCAATCTGCATACAACAAAATAAAAAATACAGGATGCTTCATTTAAGTTAACAAAGTTATAGCTGTTTGAAACTATTAAAATGTAACAACAAAAATGAAACACCTAGTATTAAATATATTAATTTGTTGGTATACCACAATTTAGTGTTACGTATGTCGTTTACAGGTACCAAAAATCTACTTGATATCACGCTCCTGAAAAGAGTTACTAGCATCTGTCAAATTTTTTCTTTAATTATTAATATCTCAAATTCTATAACTATATAGGATATATTTAATAAAGTGATCCTCAAATTTCACCTAGAATCCGAAAATGAAATAAATATATATGGTGTTCCATTTAAAATCCATTCCATTCCATTGATGTCGATTCGGTATAACCGAAAGTGCCATAAAGTTCTAAATATTTTGGCTGTGTTGGCTCTACTGCCTTTGCTAGGTCGCCAAATTTTCAGGTTTATCGCATAAGTACTTTCCGAGATATCGATAGTAGGGATTCCTGGTGGGACATTCTGTATTTTGAATTCATTTTTTTACTCTACCATAAAGATATTTAAAATAAATTCCAGAAATGTTTCCTTAAAGGTATCCTATCAAATGAAGTCAAAAAGTATTCTTTGGGTAATGAGATCTAGATACGGAAAAGATATCTAATCTCGTAGACAATATTCCTAACTTCTGATATTGCAGGGAACAATTACACCATAACCCCATAACTCGGAATGTGCGTGGATCTCGTACATCAGTAATCCAGGACTATATAATTATTGGTAACCTCGCCATCCCAATATTCGGGACAGACAACTCCTATGAGTTTATGGTCTGAGCATGAGTAACTAGGTAATTTGGGGATTTTTTTTTTCATTCTCTAATCCTTATTCTCTCAAATTTAAACATTGGCAAGTTATCCATTCTCTCTTTTCATGGTTTCAAGCTATTCAAAAAAGACTGTGCAATAATGAACTCCCTCTTACGTTTTCGATTTTGCATGCCTACACATTTGGCATCAAAGATCACTGACTTTATTTGACTTCAAATTTTTAGGATCATTTTTTTCACTTATTTTAATTAGCTTCATATCTCTACAACATAGTAGAAAATGCAAAAGCTAATAAAATATTTTTAAAAAGATTTAATTTATTATCAGCTCTGGTAGTTTATATTTTTTTGAGGTTGATTCATCGTTTCTTTAACTTTCGAATGCAACTGTTGTATACTTTTAGCACAAAATATCTATAACAAAAGAAACAACAACTTAAACTGGAAAATGATATGCTGCAAAAATATTAATTTTTTGTATTCCACCTTGTAGAAAATTGGAAATTAATTTCTTATAAAAATATTATAATGCATGTGTGCCCTCACGATTATTATGTGAAAACGTTTTAGTTCTAGAAAACATTGCTTATATACTTCCTTTTAAAATTAAATCATTACATACATTTATCGAAATTGTAAGTTTCATGGTAGTCACTTTAACTAATGACAGTAGTTAATATTTTTTTTGAAGTAACTCTTGTCATCCTGTTAAAAGGTGCATACATATTAATTATATTTCTCTGTTTGTGGTTTGCATCCAGTTACATTAATTTATTATATCTATCGTTAGTAGTAAGTAGGGAAAAAGATGATTCGTCTGTAAATAAAATCTGCCTAGCAAATTCATTATTTTCATCTAATTTTTCTCTAATGGATTCACAAAACTCCATACGCCTTATTTGATTCTTGAGAAGTTTGCATTTTATAGGCTTTGTAACCATTCTTTTTTAAGTTGCGACGAAATGTACGAGTTCTTCATAGATTTGGGAGGAAGAACACAGCTCACTTACTTCCACAAAAGCACCCCTTTTTCTCTCCTTGCTTCAGGAATTTGACGAGGTTCCTGATTACTATATTTCGTACACCGATTAACACATCCACACTCCTCAAACTCATGAAAAATATTCAAAACAGTTCTAGCAGTGGGGACTGGTTCGTCGGGGTGTGAAAATATAAATGGATCAGCAACTTCCTCTGCACTTTCTTCACGACAATACCATTTAATAATATTAATTTTTTGTTCGACACTGTACACCATTTTTATTTTGTAATATTCCGTCTATTTCTTACCAAAGGTTTGAATGGAATGATAATAAAAATAAAACTAAACAAACAGCAAAGCGCTTTAGGTATTAGGTCGGTTCACAAAAAATGCAACAGGGCACGTGCGCTCCTATAGCCAACCAATTACGAGAGTCCGAGTCGCAGCCTTGATGATATATGTCATGTCCGACCCCTTCCACCCGAAGTTAATAGGGGAGATGCGTGTAATTTACTTAGGTTATGCGAAAGAAATACCTGGCCAGACCGGTATATGAAAAACCAAATCTTATTAGTATTAGTGTTTTATAAATGACAGACAACATCGAATAACTTGGAAATCTGAGAAACTACGCCATAGTTATCTTTTTCTGCTCTTTTGCAATAGAAGCATCAGTACTGAACTACAAAATAAGTAATAATTACTTATTCCTAGTGTTCTGCGGGGTTGCAAGTTGAATGATGACGAACATTGTAAAAAATAAAAAGGACTTAAACGTTTCCTTTATCATTTAACAATTTTTTACACATTTTACATTGTTCAAGAAATTATCATAAGATCAATTATTTTACTTTGGTTGTTTTACGTCTTGAAAATAAATAAATTTCTCTATTTGTTTTTTCAAATAGTTCCTTGGTTTAAATACACTGTTCCTAAAGAAAATATATTTATTTAGTACATATATTCTTTATTCAAGATTATTTTACAAATATTCGTACTTATTTAAGGGTTCGTAACAGTTCAAGTGTTTCTCACAACAAACTAATATCCGATCATATTGAATTGATAATATAGATAACATTTCCAATAGTATTCTTGCTAAATAAGAAATAGAACCAATTATGACGTGATTTAAGATTGTTTTCTCGCATGTATGCACTTGGAAATTTGAAAAGCAGTTTCCTCCGGGGTACCACTTTGCACAACGCATCTTGCCATTATGTCTTCCACTAAAGCCTCATCAGAAATCATACTGCTTAACTCTGCTCTAAGAGTGTGCTTTTGAATTTCTCCTGCATCATTCAGTACACCCCTTTTCTTCGCAAAACACGACAAGAACAATCTAAACTTTGGATCGTCTGCAAATTCTCCAGCCATTGCATTTTCAATTATCTCTTCATTGACGCCCGTCTCTGAGACACATTCTTCGTACATTGTTTGTTTTTGCGCATTTGTCATGGTCTATTACAGCAAAGAAAAGTAATTAAATTCACTAATGTAATCTTATTTAAAAAATGTGTTATTAAACTATAGAATTAAAAAAAGGTATAAATATTACGAATTCAGTACTCAGTTCACCAGTTCAATGTTGCATTAAACTGAAAAAGCAATTTATCACTTTGAAGTAGTTTAGTTTAGTTATTTCTAAACTTACACCTGAAAATATGTATGTTTTTTTCAATATGTATGACTTCCACATAACTAGCTTTTCAAAAAGTGGACAAAGATGTATCAGAAAAGAGTCAGAAGTCATTCATACATCGGTCTGGTTCAAATATCTTCTTCGCCTTTATATTTGGGAAAAAATGGTGAAGACCAAAACCTTATGAAGTTTTATTTTAAAGAAAAGTATAAAAGAAAAATTGACTGTTCCAATAACCAAGATTTTTGTATTTTTAAATGGATTGCGCTATATACTCGTATTTTAAGTTTTCTGGATTCCTTTCTTTTTTCTGATTAAAATGATATACATTACAAATTTGCTTTTATGGTCTGCTGATCCTGATCATAGTCAAGATTGCCATGGAATCACTATGTGGGTATGTTTTCCGCAGTTAAATTTATTAAACACATCGTTAATTTGTATATCAAGACAAACTATCTTTTTATAAAAAATGTTTTACCTTCATATTCTAGACAAAGAACATACATTCCAAGAAAGTTCTTTTTACATTGATACTACTAATTTGATTGTCGACGACACAAATTATTACATTTTTCTTTGTATATTTTATTTTTCAGAATCACCCATAGCACCAACTAAATAGAAGTCAAGTTAAAATTTCTTGGGGACCATAAAATTATCTCTTCCTAAAACTTTGGTCTTTACCATTTATACCTTGTAGAATGCCTTAACAATCATTTTTGGTGTTCAAAAAACATTGGTCTATCTGGAGATTCAAAAGGAGTAATAATTTTCTCAATCATCATGTTTTCATGCTATAAGTCAAAACCTACATTTTTGAGGATATAATAAAATTAGTATATTTTTTTTCTAGGTGGTTGTGAGAAAGTGGGGTTCAGGTAACATATTGTTTTATGACTCTGTACAATAATGAGTTATCGCCAATAAGGAGTACAAATTTCGTACTGATCCTCCAACTGAATTTGAAGATATTAAAACAAACATTGTCATCTTCAAATATAAGTAACGTATTTACATTACAAATACATTGTTAGTATTACCAGGAAGAATAATAGATGAATAGATACTTACATGTGCTATAGATAAAAATGTAACACACAGAAGGACTGTAGTCGTTTTCATTGTGGTTGTAGTAGAATTTGCAAATTAATGATGATGGTAACAAATCACTTTATATACTAAGATATTAATGTTGGGTTACTGAATAACGATTGTATTTATATTAATTTCAGTTCGTAAATAAATACATATTAGATGAAGCGGAAATAATAATTGCACTATTAATATAAATTCATACTGCTACTATTACTATAGTTTCTTAAAGTACTATACATGTAGGCTTCAATAAAATTAAGCTTGTATTGAAACAATAAAATAAAAAGTATTCTAGTTAAAAATTATCTAGTTTGATTGTCTTATTTCCCGTATATTCTTATTGACACATTAAAGTTTAGAAAGCTGATCGAATCTTTTCAATCATCGTTGCTGTAACATCCATGTTAAAAGTGATACTTTTTCACTTGTACTGGAGTCATTCTCGCTTTGTGCTATCAAAATATTCCCAAAAGGACCATCGTGATCCCTTTCTACAAAAAATTGCACATATAAAGGCTTTGGCATACAGAACGCACCTGTCGCGGTGGGAAGCGATCTGGGATCGCGGCGGAAAGCGGGCATTTCATATTACACAGAAATGCATTTTAGCAGTCACACTGAAGGCGGTCTATCGCGGTGGGCCAACTTAGATCGTGACGACAAGCGATACACTTGTTCTGATCTACAGATTTTACAACGTTCGTGGTGCATTTTGCAATATTTAGGTTTAAAATATCTCGTAATTCCTCAAAACACGATCTCGACATGCGAAAATATTGGAAAAGTCTATCTTCATGCGACTGCAGTTCTATATTCACCATATTGTTCTCTTTTCTTCTTGATGGCATGCACCCAACATCTTTTCTTTTTCTTTTTTTTGTAGAGCAAAGAGAAGGATAATTTGCTCCTCGAAAGAGCTAGACATTGTGAACACAAACAAGTAAGACCGGAAACTAAGAACGAGAATTTCGCGGCCTGTGCGGCATCATAGATCGCTCTCCCACTTCAAAGATAGCGCGAACGCTGCTAGCCGCGACAGACCGCGTTCTGTGTGCCAAAGCCTTAAGTTCGTAATTAGATGATAAAATATGCCCCCCTTCCTTCTGTCCTGGACACTTTAAACATGAAGAATAATTGAGCTATTACTTCAAAATGTGCCTTTGAACTTTTTGAGCTGGAAATTTTATTTTAATTGTGTCGTTTGACACTTTAGCTTCTGAAAGATAGGAAGTGAAAAATTAGGTAAATATTTTATTAGTCAGAAGAATGGGGTCATCAAGGATATAAATTGGAAAGGATTTAAAATCCTTAGAACACAGATTTAATAATTAAAGGCACTCCTTTATTTTACTGTAAACTGATTTGTTTGTTGCTGATAGTGATGAAAGGTTTTGTATGACGAAACATATTTTGAGAAATAAATTTTAATTTAAAAACCAAAAAAAATTAAAATATTCTATTCTTTTAACAACTACTATCAGTTTCTGTTTTAAAAAAAACATTTGTTTCATTAGAAATTTCAGTCTTGTCCGAGATATCTAACCAAGATCTAATGTCCTAAATCCCAATGAAAGCCTGTGAAATAATTGGCTCATATGTCCACTGATATTGGTACAGATCATGAAACAGCGCAGCAATTGTGTGACCTTGAAATTTTCATCTGTTAGGTTAGGCCAATACATACATACTAAATGTGACTGAGATAGTGAAGGATAAAACATCAAAGAACACTGTTTGACTTTATTTGACTTCATATGTTTAGGATTTTTTTAATTTATTTTAATTAGTTCAATATATCTATAACAGAGTAAAAAATATTTCTAAAAAGATATTTCATTTATTATTAGCTTTTTAAGGTGTTAACTCATAGTTTTTTAAACTAATGCGGCAGTATACTTTTACACCAAATATCTAAATGCACAGAAGAATTAACTTAAACTGGAAAATGACACGCTGCAAAAATATCACTATTTTTGTAGATCACCTTGTAGAAATGTAGAAAATTTTTCCGTATAAAAAGATGAGGTATAAGTACCCTCATGATTATTATTTGAAAACATTTTAGTTCTAGAAAATATTGCGTAGGTATCTACTTCCTTTAAAAGTTAAATGATTATATACAATTTATTGAAATTATAAGTTTCATGGTAGCCACCTTAACTAATGACAGTATTTAAATTGGCTCATCCTGTTAAAAGGCATTTATTATACATATTAATTATATTTCTCGGTTTGTGTTTTGCATCCAGTGACATTAATTACACAGCCTCACAAGAAAGGTTCTGTAGCAGAGACGTGAGTATATAGATCTTGTGTATTTTTTGGTGGTCAATCCGAATCTGTAACCCAGCAGGGCAATTGCAGGGCAATTTTTTGTAAAACGCTAAAATGTCCCCTAAAATCCTCACTACTATAAAATAAAGCTTTTTAATGAAATGCAACAATTTGTAAAAACATTCAGAAAATATTTTAAAATAATATTTTGATCATTGGAAAGAAGTAGCAAACTATGTGAAAAACCATACTCTTGTATTTTACACTAGTAAACATTCAGGGTGTTCCTCATAAGAACCGACACACAGCAGGAACATGTGGGGGAGCCTGAAATATGGTGATTTAACGCAACTTGCCTTTATACTAAGCTGCACCCTTGATGGGCTTTCAAATTTCGAAAAAAGTCAATATCTCAGTTATAGGTACTTCATCAAATAACGAATGTTCAATATTTTTATCTGAATTTTGTTAACACGGATTTTTAGGGTCGCTGATTACGAATCTGAAGTCCAAATCCAAAAATTTCTGAATAAAAGGAGGCTCAATATTATATGACTGATCCATTAAAACAGCATGATGCGACGTAGGTACTACTAGAACCTGAAGTTGAAGTGTCATTGTAAAGAATCCTGTTGGCTATTTCATTTTTGTTACTTAAATTGTCAGCAATATAACTTGCTGCAATTGTGGCCATGTCTCTTGATTGCTTATTGTATTAGCCAGTAACGTTGCCGATGTTCTTCAGAATGAATGGTATGTATATGTTTCAGGATGTTCTAGTTTCAAAAACTGTGCAATCTTATTAGGAATCATAGAATGGATAAAAAACCTAATCTTTATTTCATGAACCATAAAGAACTGTGGAAGCAGATAAAATGTTATACACCACGCAGCAGTTAAGTATAATTTACCAGTCTCTCGCTCCGCTCAGGTGCAAAATCGTCCTCGACTGGTAAATAATACTTACCTCCTTTATGGTGTAAATAACTATTAAAATATGAGTCATTTGAGTAAAACAGGCAAAGATCTAAAAATGAGAAACAAAGAAAGTAAATTCGATTTGCAGTATGTTGTCTCTTTCAGATACTCTTGCCAATCCCAGCAGAGAGTGATGACATCATTCGCTTAAATTGGAAATATAAAACGAACAAAATGAGTAAAATTTTAGAGGTAAAAATATAAATATTATCACGGATGACAAATTACGCCCTTTTAGACTCATGAATTTTTTTTGTGGGGCTTTGTTATTATATCTATGCTTTAGTTATTCTTAAATTACCATATTACTATTAACCACAAAGTGAATAAATATTGATTGTTATTAAATATTGCACCATAAAATTTGCCTATGAAAACTATTGTTCATTATCTTTCGTTTTTGGAAGACAACCTTTGCCCCAGGTGTTTTACATCATCTCACTGTGATGACTACATTAAAAATTGTGCAGTGCAATAGTCCAACTTTGTTATTAGTGGAATTAATCTTTCGAGGTCAACTGCCATCCCATACCAAACTTCGCATATTGGTTGTAATTCTGGCCTAGCAGCCATTAAAATTCCATTTGTACAATAATAAAGAGCAGGATTCCATATTATTCTCGTACTATGAGAGCTTTTCACAAACTAAGCCCGTTTAAAGTTTCCAAGTCGCATTTGGAAATGTTCATTAAGCAAGTAATTTGGAAGGTCAACATCTTAATTACAAACCAACAAGTCAGACCTCTATAATCCTTAAAATGAGAATGTTTCTGAGAAGTTCGTGCTTGGTTATGTTATGATATACATTCCAGAAAAAACAAACTATGTCGTCTAGGCGTTCTTTCCGTTAGGAAAATAAATACCGAGCAGCTGGAAACAACATATGCAAGAAGTGTTTTGATAGAGACTGTTGTCTGTTTTTGGGACATCTACTTTGTTGAATATTTTACTACACCTTTGAAAATTTTTGAATTATTTATAAATACAGAGTAACATAAAAGTATGGGAACCCCAAAAAGTCTCGCGAGATATGCATTTTCCGGAAAAATCAAATATAGGGAAAGTTTGTATTTTTCCCTGGCTATTCAATGGTGGCCAAGCTATGACCACTGACCACGTAGTTATTATGGGGTCAAGATGATTTTTCTTAGTGGGAACCCCCCTTTTTGAGCCCGTAAATGGAAACAGCGGAAAATTTTACGTTCAGATATGACCTTAACCATTTCAAAAATTTCAAAATGGCGGCGAAATCAAGATGGGGGACGAAATTTTTGAAAATTAACCGATTGTCACCAAATTTTGTATACGGAGGCTTTCGAGGTCACTGATCACGAATCCGGGGTCGGATTGAAAAAATCAAGATGGCGGATCCAATATGGCGGACGAATTTTTCGAAAATCAACCGATTTGCATTAAAGATGGTATACGGCCGTTTTTAGGGTTGCTGATCACGAATTCGGGGTCAGTGACCCCCAAAACCCCCGTATATCAAATTTCGTGATTACGGTCGAGTATTTGGGCATGTTCTAATTTAATCAAACATCACTTTTTTAAATTAAATTAAATTTATAGCTTGAAATTTAATTATGAATGTAAATGACATCTATGGGCGGTACATCCATAGGGGCTTTTGCCTACATAATTGAAAATATTAGAAATAACAGATATCCAGATTAAAAAATATATTTCTTTATTTCTGTTTTGAAACAAACCAGTTCATTTTTAATTTGAATTGTTATCACCAAAACCAAGTTTTAGTTGGTGCTGCAAAGGCCTTTGTAACTGAAAACTACTAAGAGATCTTACACGACCTAGGATTTAACGGCGAAGTTTATCAACTTG